ACCGCAATTTATCTACTTCCAGACTGCTTTATGCAATTCAGCCTTTCAATCATTTCAAGGCCCAAACTTTAATCACTGGCAAGTTCAAAAATCTTCGGACGTTGCAAAAGGCAATACATATTAGACTAAGTTTGAGATGAAAAGTCAACCCCATACGTACTTATTAGTACTGTACTACTTAATTTGAATTTAAGTTAATTCAATGTTATGCATTATGTCCTTGCATTACACATTACTGACCTTAAATTTGAAACAGTACAGTATATATACGGTAGGGAGGAAAGATGAAACATGACAACTCCATGAAGAAGTTCTCAGTTTACAAATAAGTATAGGATCACAGTGATAGTTGATCCTGCAGGCTCTCATCTGTTTCTCCATGGGCCATGCATTGTCTACTTTGCCTCCTGAAAGATAACCAAGGCGATATTAAGGCGATGACAGCTGTTTAAAAAAACCTAGGCCGCTTCAAAAAATTTGTTTAGCACAGCTCTCTATTCAGTTGCTATTCATTCGCCCACGAGCCCCACCAGAATTGAACAAAATTCGAAATAGCCTAGGTTTTTTTAAACAGTTGGAATATACTTGAACCCATGTTTACAAAAATTTATACACCATAAATATTGAAAATTATATGTTTGATAACGATACCGATACCATATCCGCCACATCCACACCGCCAATAATCATGCTTCAGACTGACTGAAGCATTTTGGCAAAGAAATTCTTTCAATACATAAGGGAAATGTGATTTTTCAGGGTACTTATTGTAGAAAGTAAATATTTTTTTACCGCTTAGGAAGGAAATAAATTCAGACCGATTGAAGGTCGAACTTTCCGTAAACATCCAAAATGATATTTTTCGGACAGGTTCTGAAGCAATCAACTTCAGCTGACCTGAAATTATAAATTACCGAAGCCGTCCGAATGATTTCCTGAAATGAATGCTGAAATGGTAACCACTTCACACACGCGAAGGTTACAAAATTCTGCTTGGCAGAAATGTGTACTGAAAAGGAAAATCACGTGACCTATCACGTGATTTCCTTTTATGGTTTATCAGTACCTTTCAGCTCAACTGAAATGCATACTGAAAACCCTTGATTAGCTATATTAGGATAATCTGGTCCTTTTCAGTACACATTTCTGCCGAGCAGAATTTTGTAACCTTCGCGTGTGAGTATGTATGTTTTCGGGTCAGCTGAAGCAGCTTCAGGTCCAAAAAAAGTCATTTCGGGAACACGTGCAAATTCCAAACTTCATTTGGTTTGAATTTATTTCCTTCTAAACTCCTACTACTAAGAAATATTCATTTTATATGATAGCCTGAAAAAGTACATTTCCGATATGTATTGAATTAAATTATTTTGCACAATGCTTCAGTTGGTCTGAAGCATAATCATTGGCGGTGTGTATATAGTAAGAAATTACGGATTAGCTATAAAAGTAGAAACATCTTGTTCATGAGAACGTCCATGGAATTGTTACGCGTCACAGTATACATGATTGAAGTTGGTATCTCGAGGCATTTACCGTGATGCACTCAAAAGGTTGTGATGTATCTCCAATAGACCATGCTGAATTTGTTAGAGGACATTGGGACTGAATTAATATCCAGGGAGGAGATATCTTCCAAATGAATACTGTGCTCATGGGTGTTTCCTGTTTGTATCAGGATGATAAGAGCAACTGGATTTATGGCCTTTAGATCAAAGAAAACAGATTGAATAATCCACTATGTCAAACATTTGAACAAGAAGTTCTAATGGAGCAAGACTTACAGCACTGTACAGATACAAAGAATCAATAAAGATTCTTGCATTTACAATAGGTACAACAACAGAAGTTGCATGAAGGTCAAGTGCTTGAATAATAATATTAGACAGCTTTTCAAGAGAAAAGTTGATATCATTCATTAGAGTTGAGATAATCACAAACCTGTACCATGCCAAAAATTGCACCAGATTCAACCATAAGTAGAAGTATTGTTTCTACTTGTGTCTTCTTGTTGTGCAATATTGCACGAGTTGATTTATAATGTGCCCTAGAAAAATAAATGCAATAAGGATCTTGTAAGTGAACAGTGAGATGCCAATACCTACCATGCCCGATAAGCTATCAGGAGTGTCGCTACAATATTTACTGTAAGATTGAATACAGTGCTGAGCCAATCCAAGGTTACAGTATTGAGATCAGATGATGTGATAGAACCTTCAGTGTCAACAATAGAATCAGCAATGGTGATGGCTAAATAGTCTGCAGTGTCAGTATATGTGTAGGGAAATATGACAAAAGAGAGTGAGACTACCAATGTCTGCCAGCAGAATAATGAACAGTGTCCATTTAACCAGCCTATTTTCTGCCCATAGTGCCCAGGCTCTCCAAACAATAGCTGTATCAGCAAATAGGAACTGCACATGGGATAAAATATCAGATTTTGTGCCCAAGAACAATCATTGATGGATTTATGCAGAACTCACAATAGAATTTTCAGAAATGTCTTCTACAATAAACATTACAATGGCTTTCAAGTTGGCAGCCATTTCCTGTGCAATGAAGTCCCCTGAACTGAGTGACACCACCAAACTAAACTTGACAAGAAGCAAATTTGCTGCAATGTTTGCGCAAGTGGTAAGAACCACCATCACAGCTCCCACTAGAAGGAGTGCAATTAATGCTTTATGGGCCCATCCATTATTTTCCTTTTGCCTATGGTGTGGTTTTAGATGTGGAGCTGTTAGTATAATAGAATATGAAACATGGCAATAAGCTTACAAGATGATATGCATGCTAATAAAGAAAGCCATCATGTAGACCCCTGGTAGTTAAATTAGTCTCCTTCTCCACTGTGACCACCTTTATATACGTTACTCACCGAAGAGTCCAATCATAAATATCAGAGGGGGTATATTTTGAAAGAAACCAGCTTCGGCAGCTGCAATTTGTTCTGACTCTTGTGGTGTCATGGTAGATGTACTACTTAGGTAAAAAAAAGTGATGGGTAGTACAGTAGCTTCTGCTTAGGACGGTGGCTTGACTTACAGTTGGCGACAAAATTGATGACACCCCACGTGACCTACTGAATGGGCTACTGAATAGCCTACCGTATTTGGGGGGTGACATCAATTTTGTCGCCAACTGTATATTGTTGGGACAAGTTGAAGTGGCAGTGTGAAAGATGAACAAGATCAAAACTTTCGAGAGGAAAGGAAAAGCAGTCTCGGCTGCTTTTGATATGGGCCACCACTGGCTGTCACACCAAGGGGTGTTCAACCCACTAAGTCCCAACATGACCTTGTTTTTGTAAGGATTCATGAAGCCCCCCCCCCCCCCCCTTCCAATGCCTATATATAGTAAAATTTTCCCACACTTTGGAGGATTTCCAACTTCAAATTTGTATTACATAACAATTTTTTCTCCTTTGCACCTTTAAACAACATTTTCAGAGGCAATTAATACACAGCAGTTCATCTAAGTTCAATTCAACCTGGTGTAAGTGCACTTGCATTGACAATATTTTTTGATGCAGGTGGTAAATTGGTACTAAAATGCATCATATCCTATAGAATCTATATTTTTCAGTGAGATTTGAGATGTTGAGTGCTTTAAAAGCCTTATTTCAGTAGTTGAATTAACCTAAAATGCCCTTCAGAGCCTCAACAGTATGAAAAAATTTTCGGCCATAAGGAATTCTCAGACCCCCCCCCCCCCCCCCCCCCAAGGTCATGTCAGCGCTTATTTTTTTGAACACCCCTTGTGTCACACTGTAACTAGTTTTGGCTTGTTCAACCCCAAAAAGCAGGTCAGTTCACAAGCCACAATTGGTCGACAGCAGTTTCGCATATAAGCCTTTCGATCATTTCAAGGCCCAAATAGGTTCCAATTCGAAAATCTTCGGACCTTGCGAAAGGCAATACATATTAAACATAAAGCTCAAGTATATCCATCGCCTTGGTGATCTTGAAGGAAGCAGAGCCTTAGAGCAAGTGGCTCATTGAGAGACGGCCCCAGCTGCAGAGCCCGCAGGATCGACTATCAATAATCGCGCGGATTTTCTTAGACACACTCCTAAGTATGTCAATGCTTGTTTGATGCATGTCTCAATTACCGTATACAGTATACTACTTACAGAGTAGGGTTGACTTTCCATTCAATAAAATTTGTGAACCATAAAAATCATAATGATACTATGATGTTGGGCGTATACTACTAAATTACAGATTAGCTATAAATGTATAAAGGCAAGCATAAATGTCTGGGAATCATTACACATCATTTCGGTATACTAGTGTGCGAGTTGGTACTCAAGACGTTGTGATTAATCATCTGAGGCAAATTGGAAGTCGGACCAAACTCCTTGGCCTCTTTACAGCGTTCCTGAACTCCTCGAGATAACATACCTATATCCATCCCATTGAGCATGGCATATGCTAAATTCAAATTGAAAGATACTCACCAAGCATGAATCACGCCTGGAATCCATCCCAATATAGTCAGACAAATGTTAATCAAAAATCTAAAAGTGCGATGCAAACTTGTTCAGTCCCTGACAATATTAAGATGGGAACAAGGAGCTCCACTGACCAGCTGTGCATCCCCGCTCTGATAAGTAGACAAATTTAGCAAGTGCGAAATTCTCTTGCTTGCAGAGTAAACTCACTCAACACCACAGCGACTGGAGGCAGAAGTCTGATGTCGTCAGTAACAGCTTGGGATTCTGTACAAATGCACTCACAATGCCAAGAAATAAAGGCACATATCGGACGTTGAAGAGACTTGGCTGGCCATTGTGATTGAAATTGTAGATGAAGATATGAACGCGACTCGCGCCTTTATACTGAGGAAGAAAAGCTACGTCATATATGACGTCACCTGCGCCAACGCAGACACTGATAATAAAACTGAATAGTGCCGATAATTCTTATGTGCAATACGCCAAACGGTAAAAACAGTAATAATAATTTAAAAAGATTTAGATTCACAGGGGTTGTCAAAGACCAAGGTCCAACCAGGACTCGAACCTGGGTCACAGGAAACTGCGAGACTATCAGAATCCTGTGTGATAACCTCTACACTATTGGACCGCTGACGGCCATTACTAATATTACATCCATGTTATTTAGCACAGGAAGCAAGCTACCGTAAGCCCGCCCAAGTGAAATTACGATAAACAAGCGCTAAGACGGTGAAATTACGTTGCGGCCGGCGTTAGTTTATAGTAAGTTCACGGTAAGCCCGGCGAACTTACGGTAACCTGTTTCCCGTGTAGTGTTGTCTGCGTCGTCCATCCTCGATATTGACACAAATTCAATGGGTTATAACCTATTCTACAGCTTTAATTACATTCTTTGACCTTTGTACCTCAATATACCCCAGCAAGTAAGAATTTCCACACCGATGGTTCAGCATTGCCTCGCATACCCAGCTTGCTCTTGTGCACCTTCCGCCGTGTCACCAAAGTTGTCCTTGTCGGGACGAGCATGCTCCCTTTCAGGTTGATGCAGCGTCTTGCTGGTGGCGAGCAACACTTTGCTTCCAGCTTCCGCTACAAAATGATAAATGTTATTAGAGTAGCTCGACGGAAAGAGTTTGTGACATGGAACATACACATCATTGACTCGGTGGTCTCGATAATGTCAGCAATCAGTCGTTCGGTGAGGTCCTCACTCAATGTTTCGCGCACTGTGGATACATACTGAGATCCTCCCAGACGAGACGAAAGGATAACCATGCTTACCAACAACACGCAACATTTCAGTGTCTTTCTCTCCTTCGGGGCCCTATGGAAAAGCGTCAGTCAGATGGAAGGTTTCAAGAGGGTTCATCCCATACGTTATAGTTGGGTACAATCCAGCCTTTGGTTCTCAGCATGGACTATGTATACAATTTAATTAGGTCCTGTCAACAAAGATGAGCTGAACATACCTGGATCCAAACCTGCTCGACGTGGGGGTATTGTTCCTTGAAGTCATCGGAAAGCCTGGACAGATATGTGAGATGAAGAGACTGACGATTAATTACAAGCTTACTTGAAAGAAACCACAGGAAGACCCGGTTCGTATGACTCGGGGTCGTCATCCTCATCTTTTCCAGGAAGAACACGATGAATGTTGCTCAGAACCTGGAACCCATGTTAATTTGACTGCGCTGAAAAAACCAACACGAATCACCTTGAAATACGTGCTCTCCAATGCCCTCGATAGTAATCTCGCGTTGCGGAGGTCTTTGATTGTGATTTTACGATAGCCGTCAAAGCCAAGGTTGAGGAAATTGAACATCTGGGCAATGATGGGAGAGGCTGGCTTGGAGAAGTTTCTAAACATCGTTGAGTAACCCGCGAGTTCGAATCGATGGAAAATATCACTTTACAGAGTGAAAGAGTACTCCACGCTCCCGAGATAATCTACCAACAAAGACCAGTAAGAGCAAGTTGAAACCGTAGCGTTGATACGCACGAAGTTCAAAGATCAGGTCCTTGTTTAGATAACTTTCGTCCCTCCACAAGACCCATCCGAGTCCAGCATACACAAGGCCGAACTTTGATGACCAGAGGTGTTGATGGAGACAACGCGAGGAATATCAAAGCCCCATTTCAAAGATGGATAAGCGAATGGAGCAACGAATGCACCTGCGCGCATCCGTAGGATCGTCAGTGTAGGTTCATGTCTGCGTAGAAGAGACTACTCGCACCAGAGGCACCATCAACGTGGATTGGGATATCTAGACCGGTCTTCTCCTGGAGTTGGTCGACTAGGAAGGGGAGTAAGAAGACAACACCTAGTTGGAACCGACGAGTACTCACGAAGTTCGTTCATCTCTAGAACATTCTCGAAATGCCCAGTATAGGTGCTACCAAGGATAACCATGACTCCGATTGTGTTCTCGTCGATGAATTGGATAGCATCCTTGGGATCCATGATGTAGTTACAGCTGGCCTTGACCGGTACGAGACGACATTCAACATCAAAGTACCTGCAAGGAAATCAGTCGACGCATAATAAAGGATGAAGCGCAGTAGAATTTACCGAGCAAACTTCTCCAAGGCGACTTGAGCATTGGATCCGAATACGATAGTTGGGATGATAAAAGTCCTTCCCAGCAGCCTTTCGGGCTTCCTGCCAGCGTTTCTTCATCGCCAGTCCGCCCAACATGATGGCTTCAGATGAGCCCGCGGTGGAAGTTCCGATGACTTTGCCTACTGATGGAGCTTTCCAGAGGGACGCAACTGAAAGATTGGTGTCAGGATGAATGTGAAGAGGGAGGTAAGCTGAATACGCACTCATCGAGATACAACGATTGTGAATGAGCGTGGCAGCAGGGTATTCATCAAGATCGACTTGATTCTTGTTCATGTTCTCCATGATAAGCTTATTAGCTTCCTCCGGCATCCAAGTGTGCACGAATCTAAATCGCAACAGGATATCGATCAGACAGAGATCGTTGGTATTTGGAACATTGGGAAAAAAAAAACTAACGATGCAAGGTTGAGCAGAGGATTCCCATCAAGTTGAGTCTCGTCGTGAAGGAGTTGATACGCTGCTTTGGAAGGAATACCAACCTGCAATCAAAGGTTATAATCGGTCATTACCAGAATATATTTAGATTATTCCAACCTCAGGCATGGAGAACTTTGGTACCCCAGCAGCGTCCTCATCACGGCTCCAAGACTGGTGAACGGACCGTCCTTCGTGACTCTGGCGATAAGCTTGGGTGTGTGGATGATCTTTGGATTTTTGGATCACTTCATCTGCATTGACTGGGTAGAAGAGATGAGATTATGTGCATGAAAGAACAGAAAAGACCTTACTGTGGCGTGAAAGAGACATTTTTAGAAGCGCAGCTGGGGATGCGGTAAAGAAGAGGTGAAGTGACCAGTGCAATAAATACTCAGGCTAGGATACGAATCTGATGGGCTGATAATGATGTCAGTGCTACATGCCAATAAAGATCAAAATAGATAGAACGAAATGGCTGTAGATTGCGATCTCTGTCGGCGTTTCTGGTGTTTCTGGCAGTTACTGTATTGGGGTCAGCAGGCAAGCTTTGCGTCGTTAAGCGCTATGGGCGCCTGTTTACGCGCTCAACCTCGCTTTGACCGTCACCACCAAACCTTTCTCTGAGTTCTGAAGCTGGTATCGTGTTCTCTTACTGCATCCCAAATTTCTCACTCATTTTTAATTAGGATGCCAGAATATAAACATTTTCAAACTTGTCCGCAATGTGGCTTTCATTCATTGGGCGACAGCGAAAACACAATGGAGTCTGAAAATCTACCTTCCCCAATTGAAGCTCTTCTACAGAACAACGAAAGTCCTGACTCTGAATCTTCCTTTGACACCCAAAGTCTGCTCAGCCAAGCAGAACATGCTTTAGCAGACTTGGACTCTCAAATTGAACGAATGCAGACTAGCATATCTCGTCTATCGGAACGGCGGGAGCGTATCACAGTCAACATACAGGCCTACCGCACGGTGCTTCATCCGATCCGTCGCTTACCGCGAGAAGTTATTCTCGAGATATTTGAATGGTGTGTAGGTGTAAACTCGATCGAGCCAGACTCAGTGGTTACGGATGACCCTGATCTCAAGCTTCCTGGATTGCGAGTGGTTAGCTCACTAAGCGCAAAAGCGCCATGGGTTTTGGGTCAATTATCGAGGCATTGGAGGTCGATAGCCCTGTCATCCCCGACTCTTTGGTCGTCTGTTTCTATATTTCTGCGGGCGGCGCCTCAACCAGCTGCTGTTCAGCGGCGGCTTGAATTGGCCCAAGTTTCTTTGTTATCCGTATATCTGACACGGTCTCACAACTATCCACTTTCCATCTACGTTAACTCCCTCTATCCCTCACATCCTCTCCTTTCTATGCTCTATGCTCAGAGCTATCGCTGGCGCAATGCTGTCCTTTACTTGCCAGTCGAATCGCTCGGTGATTTGACCTTTGCTTGTAAAGGTGCCCTCCCTTTGTTGCGCAATCTACTTATATCTATCACCAGAGATCCATCCGCCACTGTTCCAGCTCAACAAAATTGGGAGGACGTCATAAACCGCGATACCATCGTCGACGCCTTCCAATTCACACCCGAGCTCAAATGTCTTGCCATTTCCCAAATACCCAACTTTCCTTCCCTCTTCTCAATTCCATGGACTCAACTCGTCCGTTTTGAGTGCAATCTGAAAAGCGAAGCCTGGCAACAATCCGAGAATTCCGTCAACATCGATATCCTACGCCGTGCTTGCAATGTACGGATGAGTATGGTTCGATGTAATTTTTCGCCCTTCATTGATGAGCTCCCTCTACATCATGTTCACCTCCACACACTCAACCTTTTCTCCGTTTTGGACACGAACCCCTCTACTCCACATGTAGCGCAATTCCTGGACATTGTCACTCTTCCTTTGCTACGGCAGCTCACTATCCGCACCCAGCGTCGAGAAATAGACAGCTCGAGCGCAATTTTGCGGTTCATCGAGCGGTCCGATTCAAAGAGTCTACGCGTGGTGTCGCTTAATGATATGCCCATGAGCACAGAGGCCACGCAGCGATTGCTTACCTTGATTCCAACGGTGGAGCATCTTGGCTTGAGCGGCGTCTCAGACGACATCGTGCGAACGCTGTATAGTGGCTCGGATGACTCTGTCGTTGAACAACCAAGCGTTGATTCCACTACCGGTAATCGTACCAGACCCGTTCTTCCTAGGTTGAAGAGACTGGCATTCTTCGGAGTAGAAAGCCTGTCCGTTAACCAGAGGCTTCTGCTGGGCATGATTGAGTCACGCCGTCGAGATGAGGTGTCTCAATCGTTGATCAGCGACCTTGAGGATGATGGGGAGGTAGTGCAGACGAATTGGTTGGAGCGTATGGAGCTCTCACGGAAATTCAACTTTAACGATCCAGACGCGATCTTCCGTTTGGACCATTTGTTAGAAGAAGGATTGATACTTGATCAGAGGTGAATGCGAAAGTGTGGCTGAAGTTACATACCAATCCTGTACAAAGTAGTAACCTATTTGTAAATGCTCAGCGGCTCGGTTAAAGGGTGGAGATTAGTGAAGGTGCAATAATAGCCATTCCGATATGGTGTAGTGGCTAACATTATCGCCTTTCATATGTTTCGGTCTATTGAGCGCGATAGCCCGGGGTTCAATTCCCCGTGTCGGAATGAAATTATCTCTTTGAGCGTTACTTTTTCTTTACTGGAACTATGGACTCCACGCCTTGGAAACGTTGAGTCTAAGTCTGAACTAAGTATATAAAAAGGCAAGCAAGTGTGCAGTGTATGAAATGTCGCTAATACCGCCTGTGTTGCAGAAATATCAACGCCATCCACAGTGCTATTCTACACTTTCTACAACGTAACTGACTGCCCGATATGGAAATCCTCTGAGATTATCATCCCACGTAATAAGTGTTCAATCGCTCACTACACGCTTTCTGACGTTTCCTGCAGTCGCGGCGGACATTCGTATAAAATGGGACCAGCACCGTCTGTTATTCTTCGTAGCGGATAAGGATATTCTCGACGATGTGGACAAACACTTGAATTTTCTCGATGAACAAAAACCGGGCGACGTTGCGTACAATTGGTTTTGCGTCCCCCGGGAACGGCATCCAACGCTGGTATTAATGTTATCTTTCTTGCTATTACTCTTAGTTCTAAATGGTTTCTGTTCATGTAGTGCGAAGGCAGTCGATTCACCATCAAGATCCTCTCCCGTAACAACCTCATTACCTAGTATGTTGTAGAGCGGCCAGAGGATCACACACAGCGTTTGTTGTACACGCAACTGTCAGATGTTGTATATAAAGCGATTGAAATATCCAGAGGAACTTACCGGAATTACACTCATCCACTGTTTCTCCTCGTACGTTTAATGCAGACGTTGGAAGCGCAGCCAAATAGTCGCAATCTCTGGCCGACATGGAACGACACCGATATCGAAAACGTTTTACCGATGGATTGGCCAGGTGCCGTTGAGAACAATGATCTTTTAATCAGAAACGTCAAAATTATTCAGAAGATTTACGCCAGGATGGGTGGCAAGCCAATTGCGTGGAAGGAAGAGGCGGGGGTGTCGAGCTCTTTGTCCCTCACCTCCGACTATTTCAGGCCTATTAACGCGTTCGGTGGAGGGGCCAGTCAAGGGCAACACTCGGGTTACAACGGATCACTCCTTTCTGACGCGGAAAATATCGCGAATGGTTGGCGTCAGAGTCATGGACAAAAGCCCCCAGCGACAATGTCATTGAAATCATTTGTTGCCAAGTTGCTCGTCGCATCTGTCAACAAAGATGCCAGACTAGGGCTTATTATATCGCTTGACCCGTAAGTCTGTTATGACTATTTTTTTTTTTGAACGATCGTTTTTTATGTACAGGAACTTACATTAGAAACTGAATTTATCTTTTATTTCTTGCGCGCATCAATGATGTATCGATGAGCGATGAGGTTCAAATGTATTCAAGGCGGTTGTTGCTTCCACCTATACGCTATCTAACTAGCTCCAATCCGACCCTTTTTGAGGGGAATTCTAGAGATGCAGAGATGATATGGGCTAGTGAAAGCGGTGCCAATGAAGAGAAGAAGGGTACAATGAAAACAGTGTAGAGCAGGAGATGCAAAGTATGGAAGTGAAGAAGAACATGCAGCCGGACGAGGCAATCGAGAAAATACTTGAAACCTCAAATTGTAAGTCGCCTGCGAAGGGCGAGTATTGAGTATTGAAACATTATTGGAGTTCGCATTGCTTCAATTCTGGAGTCACAACGTACTACACCATGCATGTTCCAAGTACTCCGATATGGTGTAGTGGCTAACATTATCGCCTCTCATGCTCTGACTTTCTGTAAATTGAGCGCGATAGCCCGGGGTTCAATTCCCCGTGTCGGAATGAAACACTCTGTATGGTATGGCAATGGTTTTTTTGCTTATTTATGACTGGACAGGATTGGACAGGACAGGATTGGGACAGGACCATAGACTCTGCGCAGTGTACCATTGGAAACTACTTTAGTATAAGAAGGCACATATGCAGTTTATGACCCAAATGTCACTAATACCGCCTGCGTTGCAGAAATATTAACCCCAGCCCCCACAGTACTATTCTGCACCGACACCGCCCCGCTCACTTTTCCATCCGAAGTCTCGTACGTCTGACCTCCCCAGGTTACGCCGCTCGTATCGTCGGCATGCCTAAAAACATTTAGGTAAGAAAACTATACAATAATTTGAACGGCACGTACCCAATCACCAAACGTTTCACGCTCATTGTTGTAGGCGCTACTCCAGACCCAGCGATATCCAAAGCAAGTTGAACGCTTGGTCGAGCAGTTGTGGTACCACTAAAGAAACCCTGCGAGTTGATAAACAGCGCTTTGGCCAACTTGCCTCCGATGTAGAAAGCATATCCAGATACGAAGGCATTGTTTATAGAAAGTTCAATTACGGAGGTGGTTCCACTGGTTCCGATAGCCTCTGCAGCGATGATAGCAGCATAATAGGCTGGTTGGATATGCGGCGGGAGTGGTGGGTTCAAGGGAGTTGCATCGACGACGGAGATGTTGAGTGTGACAGGTTGGATCTGTTGGATATTCAGCACGGTGCAAAAGCAAGAATGAGTTTTTGGGGACGTACAAAGTTATATTTGTATCCGATGCCTTCATGGAAGTAGAGTCTTTCAATGCCAAGTTCCGAGCTACAACGGGGTAGGAGATCAGTCGGAAGAAGTACAGAATAACACAATGGAACAACTCACGCGAACAAGGACTGAGAAGGGAGTAATGAAACGGCTTGTCAGTATCAGACATCAAACAGAAAATGAAGGATTTACATAGTCCAACGCCCACAATGCAGCTCCTATAAACCAACGCACGCATCAGCGAACTGAAGACAAATAACTCGCTCCAAAGACATACCAGCTGTATTGGAAACATTCGCTGCACCCTGAAAGAAAATCAACGGTTGTACATGAAAAGCGCTAGTTTAGCTTACATGGTCAAAATAACTGTTCGTTTCTCCCAAAATATAAGTTAACCCTTCAGCTTTGGTCGCAGCGATATCCGGTGAAAAGACAGAAAGGTTTCCGCGAATAAAAGCCTTTGACATGAGGTCTTGAAGACATTGGTTTTTGGTGCCGCAACCCAAGCCACTACCACTGTAAACGTGCTGGGAGATACTATAGCGGCAGGAGAATTACTCTCCGCGACAATAGATGGAGATTAAAAAGAAGAACGTACGTATTGATCTCCTTCCCCTGTGTCGATGATAGAATACCATTGCTAAACAGACCTTGTGGGGAGAACCCGGTCGTCGTATGGGATGAGCCAGCGAAAGCACCTCCCCAGAACTTGACGGAGGAGTTTAACGTTATGGGTACAGCAGCGGAAACATTGACAGCGAATGAAGTCCATCTAGAGAGGGAAAAAGGTAAAGGACATTCGCTTGAAGGAGATAAAAAAAACCCACTGCGGCACATATTGCGCGATACTAAAACCGGATGGCCTGAAACCGCCGCCAGAGTATAAATCTGCTTCGTTCCCGATTTCCACCGCATCCAATGTCAAGCCACTGGAAGAGGGAAAAGAAGCAAAGGCACTCGCAATTGCTCCGGCCTCCAAAACAGCAGCTGTGAGATTCAATGACTTGAAGTTGACCCCCCATGTGACGTGTGTACCTTGTGAACGAGAGTGAATATTTTTACTATTCATTGCAAGAGGGAGCAAACATACCAGATGGAAGGTTCTGGGCTGCTTGATAGAAGGCTTGCCCAACCACAACTGAAGAAGCTTCTGGGTAAGGGGTGGCTGCAGTCGGAGGACCAAACACGGTTTCAGAAGCCTACAATATCCATGTTAAACAATTTGGATTGGAAGCAGGTCAGGAAAGTGCCCACTTTGAGACCTGACTGAAAGTTGGTACGATCCTCCGAGTCTGCTCCAATCCTAAACCTTGGTGGCTCTCCGGAAAGACCAGCGAGATTTTCGAGAACATTGAAGAGGAATTCGCTTTGTGCCCAATCTGTCCACCTGTCTTGTTCAATTGAGAACGAGACGTGAGATGGAGAGATGGCGGAGGCGTTGGTTGGGGCTGTTAGAGGTATAGAAACATCAACCGCGAAAACTGGAGCAGCAGCCCAGAAGGTGCAAGCTATGAAAACGAAACTCCACATCGTGGTTGTCGTGCTGCTCGTATTGCATTAAGACCGAGCTTTTATAGGCTGTGGAGTTTCCTAAAGGAGGTCATGGGAGTTCGTAATTACATCAAATCTGCCCGGACGAGCAGCCTTGACGATCCGAAATGATTTGGTCGCAGCTGCACAAAGACTTCAAGGACCTGGTGACTGAGTAGTTTTATTGAATAGTTTTTTATGGGTAGGAATGGTCGGGTGGCCATTCTGAATGACACAAATTCCAATTAGGAGCAGCGTATCAGAACAATGAAAATTCGGTAGGCAAAATCCCACTAAAGCATCGAGGCGTCCTAACTCCTAAGTCCAACTTGAATCCTCAGGCTTGTTGGTTCTATTCGAACACGTCGGAGCAATGCAAAACGGCGAACCAGAGATCAGGCCAGTCTGTTGGATGTTCCGGCTTTTGAGAGAAAAGTTTAATGGACAAATGAACAAGATCGGGTCCTGGGAAGACGTGTCTCAGCGCGTTGTGACATTTAATCACGTGCTGTTACGACAACCTTGCCAGCTCAAGACGACTAACGCGTACATCTCTCGGCTATAAGCAGAGTTAAAATTGAGGGGCTTGAGGGGGTAGAATTGAGGTGCGTCTCAGCTCGTTTGTTTTGCTGGCTAGCTCACTCACTCACTTGGAATTAGACTCGCGTTGAATGGATGCGGAGCTTCAGTCTCGTCTCGAGTCTTTGTACCTTTCAAACGAGCCTCCTTCTTCTCAGGATGCAACTCTCATTTCTGAAATTCTCCAAGACAGACGCGCTCGCATCTTTGAGCTCGAGAAAAACCTAGTCAAATTTCGAATGGAAATAAAATTCTACGAGAGCCTTCTCTCAGGCATTCGGAAACTGCCTCCAGAGCTGCTCGCAGAGATTTTCATGCATTATGCTACTTCGTGTCGCGACGGACGCGATTTTTCGGGGTACTACTTTTATCCTCGACCGCACACGGACGGTCCCATGCGAATTAGTGCTGTATGCCGCACATGGCGCGCCATAGTCTTTTCGACGCCGACACTCTGGAACTATATTTCCCTTCCCCATAGAACTCCCTTTGGGTGCACCAACTACGCAGAGTTGGTGGAGCGTTGTATCACAAACTCCAGGGTTTCACCATTGTACATTAAAGTATCCGTTTTTGGCTCTCCGGAACGTTATCGAACAGCCGAAGCTAGGAACCTAAAGTACTCAGGAGCTCTGGACACACTGGACAAGTTCATGCCAGAAATGTACAGGTGGAACAGCTTTCACTTGGACATGTTCGCTTCCCGATCCATATGCACACAATTGGAACGAAAACTCCCTTCCATACCACCTACCGGCGCGCCCAACCTGATGGAAATGTATTTTCGAGCTTTTACGCCTGATCGCGACGCTTTGGAGGTTGCATGGGCTCTTGAGCTTTTATGCTCGTCGATCAACTTGCGTAAAATCTTATTCGTCGCTCCGATCTGGGATCTTGAAGCTGCGCCCTGGGAGTCCCTCCAGCACTTTGAATCGAAACAGGGAATGCGGCTGAGAGATCTGTTCTTGGTGTTGAGAGGGTGCCCCGCGCTTCAATACTGCGAGGTATGCTTCGAACTGGAGGAGGAGCCTCCCTGTCTTCCTTCATTCACGGAGTCGGATCCCGTCATCGTGCTATCTCAGCTGCACACGCTACGGCTAACGCATCTCCGGCAGGCGGAACTGTCGACGGTGTTGCAGTGGATCACAGTACCCACGTTAACAGAGCTTACATTGGCCGGGCATCATGTTTCCGATACGTGGCTCGATCCTCTCTTCATATCTTTCCTCTCAAGGTCCGCATGCCGACTCCACACACTGTCCTTATCCCAGTTTTCCTACTCGGATGCCAATATCATGAACTATCTCCGTCTTCCAAACGTTCATGATACTTTGGAAACATTGGAACTCGACAAATGGAGGACACCTATTTCCCAAGAGCTTTTAGATTTTCTCACTTTCAAGTTCTCCGAGGGAGGACCATCTTTGATCCTCCCAAAACTCAAAAACATCACTTTCACTATCCATGCCATCGTCCAAGCCGTCCGTTTGCGAGAATTCTTTCTTTCGCGGTGGTATGAACCTGAGCGAAACCATGCTGCGTTTCCTGTCCAGGCTCTACAGGAGATGCGTGCTCTTCTCCTCGTCCCGTACGTGCCTAATGTGATGGTATCGTGCGATAACATACAGAACATGTTCAGCAGAGTCAAGGATATGGTTGAATTACACTTCGAGACGTGTATTGTTGACGGTGGAACGGACTATCCAGAGATTGAAAAACTGGCAGGTTTGGACATGATATAATTTCTTGGTGTATCTGTCGGGATGATCTACGTACTTGTTTGCTTGAAAAAAAAAACGCGTCGCGAGTATGGGCGCTTGTTTACCTTCCCCTGAGTGTGAGAAAGTACAGAACGTCGGTCAAACTTTAAGCAACCATCGTACGATCATGGCTATACGTGTTTCTTTCGCCTTACTGCCATGTCATGGCCTATCATCGTAGTTACTGGTGCTAACAGGCAAGTCCATACCGCTACACAATCTATACTCACAATAACAGTTCGCTCAACAGCGGTGTAGGATTCGGAATTTGCCAACGATTGCTCTGCCAATTATCGGAAAAAACGCCCTCGGACACGCTCATCAGACCTTCGGAGTTGTCTCCAAAGCAGCAAGATAATGATAATGTCCGTGAAGCAGACCAAT